TGAAAAAGGAAAGACCTTAATAATAAGAACTGAGCAAAAACAATAAGTCTTCCCAAACTTCGTTTGGAAGACTTAATAAAGGCAACAGTAGTATACCACTGTTCAATAGTCATAAATTGATTTATCGAAAACTAATCCGGGTCACGGGAGAGTAGTTTCTAGCTCATCTAGCCCCAAGCGTCATGCCAGGTATTATCATTACTTAAAACCATTAGATCTTCTAAGAAACAATTTCGACATTTAAACGAAATCTTTTACTAATGATACTGGGGAGATCCTTTACTCATTTACAGTTTTTGTGGACAAACCGTTTTCCAAGTAAGAAATGACCACGACAAAAGAACATAAATTGAACCATACAAATAGTACATGCATGCAGGTTCTCAGATACCATCTCGTATTTTAAAATCACATCATGCAGAAATGCACATAATGTGTTACTGTCCTAATTGTTAGTTTTTGCTGCTATCCAAAATCAAAGTTGTGGAACATATTTTATCAGAATCATTTGGTAATCCATGCAATTAGTGTCTCCTCCATGACATTCTTAAACATTAAAACTAATATTGAATAAAAGACACTGCTAATTTTGAGTGTTTGGTACAGGTTGGCTGTCACTGTACGACATTGTTAAACATAGAAGAACTCTTTTTGTCAGAAAACACTGTCAAACATTCAAACATACTATCCACACTGATCTGTGTCCACACTTGTATACTAACGATATATTATGTCCCAGATTTAATGTTCTCGAGTGTTGTCGGTAACCTCCTCGATACGGCTCATTTTGGTCTTAAAAGTAAACATAAATGCTAATAATGTGGTGTTCGTCTCGTGGAAAGACTATTATTCCCCGACCTGGACTAAAGATGTATATATGTGTAAGGCTTTACACTAATATATTACCTCTATATTTGGGCGTTGAATTCTGTCTCTTCTAGTACGTCTGATACACAAGATGACCATACACAAGAGGGCAATGCAGGCGTGCGCAGACTCCGCCCTCAGCTTCAACTGACAAGAGGCCCACTGGTATCTGTTATCTGCTCCTAGTTGGGAGAGCCCCCTGGCTTATGGTAAAGATACAACACCCCCTCCTTCTTAAAAAGGAGGAACTGTAAGTTCCGACAAAGGCATGAAAACTTAAGACGCCCCTTTTTGAACTCTAAGTCAAATCCCTTAACCATTTTTCACATAACCGACGAATGGGTTATCTAACCTAGTAAATATAATAAAACTTACTGTGTAAAATCCACCCATTTTTTGTTTTTAAAATTAGAAAATGTAAAGTGGACATATCCTTAGAACGCACCGATCATTCTTATTCTGTCTGTGCAACGGTAGGATGCCTTTTTAAAAGAATTATTTGCTTGTCAAACAGGTTTATTTTTTATTAAAGTTTAAAGTTGTGTGACCCGGAAATACCATTCCCCAAAATTGGACCAAAAAAATCCATACTTTTTTATACTGTTTGATGCCAAAATGTCAGGGAAATTCATATTAATTCAAATAAATTGTCATGCATATTATTATGTTACTCACAGTCACGTTATTTGCTTCATAATTAATATAATTTCTACAAAGGATCTGATTTTATTTAAGGCTAAATAGAAATGTTTCCAACGAACTAAGTGCTCCAAATATTCTAATTAAGATTTTTTTTTTAGATCTAAGTCTGATAGTTTGTTGGAAGAAATATCTTCCTGCTTTCTAACAGCTACATGTTTTTCATTTTAGATCTACATGTAGGTCTGATAGAAGAAATTTTTCCAACGTACTAACTGCTACAAGTATTTCAGTTTAGGTCTATGTCTGATAGAAGAAATTTCTTCCAACGGAATAACTGCTTCAAGTATTGCATTGAAGGTTTGTTAGAAGAAATTTCTTCCGACTTACTAACTAGCACAATTATTACATTTTTGGTCACGTTTGATAAAGAAATTTCTTCCAACCAACTAACAGCTACATTTGTTTCATTTTAGATCTAAATGTAGATTTGATAGAAGAAATTTCTTCAAAAGAACTAACAGCACAGATTAAATATTTCATTTTAGGTTTAAATCTGATAGAAGAAATTTCTTCCAACGAGCGATCAGCTCGAAGTAATTCATATTACGTTTGATAGAAGAAAATTTCTTCTAACGAACTAACCGCCATAAGTATTATATTTAAGACATTCGTCTGATAAAAGAAATTTCTTCCGATGAACTTACTGCTCCAATGATTTTATTTTGTATCGAATAATAAAAATCTTCCATTAAACAGACGCAAGTTTCTGATTTTTTTCTGAACGTGTAGAAAAACATGCTCATTTGATATTTATAACAGCTGTCATTACTTCAATCGATTAATCGGCATGCGTTCATATATCGTTTACATCATAACAATATTGTATTTCAAAGCTCTAACATTTTGAGTGTCTCTGAGAACAGGTAATGTAATTATATATTCTTTTGAACATTTTTTTGTTTTTAAAATTAGAAAATGTAAAGTGGACATATCCTTCGAATGCACCGATCATTCTTATTCTGTCTGTGCAATGGTGGGATGCCTTTTTAAAATAATTATTTGCTTGTCAAACAGGTTTATTTTTTATTAAAGTTTAAAGTTGTGTGACCCAAAAATACCCTTCCCCAAAATAGGACCAAAAAAAAAAGGGTTTGTTAGAAGAAACTTCTTCCGACTTACTAACTGCCACAAATATTACATTTTATGTCAGGTTTAAAGAAATTTCTTCGAACCAACTAACATCTACATGCGTTTTATTTTAGATCTTAATGTAGGTTTGATAGAAGAAATTACGAATAAACGGCTCAGATTAAATATTTCATTTTAGGTTTAAATCTGATAGAAGAAATTTTCCAACGAGCGATCAGCTCGAAGTAATTTATATTACGTTTGATAGAAGAAAATTTCTATCAACGAACTAACTGCCATAAGTATTATATTTTAGGCATACGTCTGATAAAAGAAATTTCTTCCAAGTTTCTGGTTTTTTTTTATTACAAAGAAGAAATTTCTTCTAACCAAAAATTAGTAAACAGTTGATGCATTTGGTAATTTTTGATAAATTCATGAATTTTGCATATTTCAGTCCGCAAAGAGGACATTTCTAGATTTTCCTCTTTTAATTTGGACTTCCTTGTTAATTAGAGACACCCTCGAAGAATCCGAAACAGATATAAAAGGCGCCAAAATTGTGTTTCCAAATCAACAGAAGACCATAATGAAGAATCGTAGTGGTTTGAGTCTGCTAGTTTTGGCTTTCACAGTATCCCAAGTATATGGGTAAGTTTTTATGATGGACACTTTTTTCAGGTACATAGTGGCAACTTTGGTTTATCATATGGAATAGGTCATCCGCTAGTTGATAGACTAATGAAAACTTCCGTCTTGCTTTTATACTATTTATGTAATATAAAAATAAAGAGATGAGTTATTATTGACATTGAGACCACTATCCACCAAAGTTCAATTGAAGTGGATGTAAGCAATGTAATCATGGTATGTGATTTTTACGTGTTAAAATGTGTGATTGAAAACAAATGTAGAACACGTATGAATAAATTTTCAGAGACTGTCAGACATTTTCGAGGAGAGTGCGTCATAAATTAGGACTGTTTTATTCGTACGTAAACAAGTTTGTTCTTTAAAAAAATAATGACACTGAATAACTATTTTTTCAAAGTAAAAAATGTTAAATCTAACATACAGTATATATATAACTATACATTTTTTTCATTACAGAATGTAAAAGTTACTACTAGTTGGCCTTTTCAAGTATTCTGCGTTTCAAACAGGACACATATTTTGTTTCATTAATGTCGTTTTGTTTTACTGATATTGTCTTATTAAGTCTTTTTTTTTTATTGTAGTTCTATGTGTTGCATTTTTACTGTAGTATTTTCACTACAATTTATGATAAATGGTGGATATGTTAATAATTTTGCATTAATAATTTTTAAATTCATATACATGTAAACATATTTAACTGTATCCTTTTACCCTATTGATTGGGTTGCGTACTCATATATCACTCGGTTGCACCTTTGTCCATTTACAGAACGTAATATTCTTTACAGATCTTCGGTGTTCGTGACTAAATTTATTCGAAAACTTTCTATACCTTCGGAATGACTATGGTTTGTTGTATGATCGTACAGTTTGATTTCGGTCTCATTTCGATTCAGCCAACTCTTACCACACCATTTCCTGTTGATACCAAAGCTCTAGCTAGAATTTCAATGTCAAAAGTCATACCTTCTGCTACAATAAGATGCATCGATGCGTGTCATTTTCAATATTTTTGGTGGTATGTGTACGACACTGTCTCATAAACTACTAAATAGATGTTCGTGAACCCTATATTTTATAAGCCCTCTCCGCTAGGAGAAAGAGGCATTAAGCGTTACCATTGACCGTTCGTCCCAAAAGTATTTTCAAATATTATAAGCAAGCTTGAGCGGGGGCATTCGTATCTTCAGACACATTCTTCTTATATTTCTGTATGATATTTTAGGAGATGCTTCCCATCAATTTCAAATAGACTTTGATTCAGTTTTTTATTTAACATTTATTAATAATAATTATGTCATGTTTTACAGCTATATCACCAAAAAATACCCTGGTAATTGTTCAGGTAAGCTTAGTACTTTTATTTGTAGTCAGAATTTTACATTGCAAAAGCGTACCAGAATGCATTGCAATTCTTTAGTGGACGATATATACAAAAAAAAAGAAACATGTTGAACATCTGCAAAGTAGTATTAGTTCGGAAAAGCGTTATAAGTTCTGGTTATTGTTTCTTGATGACAAAACTATGTGGTAGAAAATGGTTAATAATATATTTTTAAAACACCAATGTCATTGAGTTTTTTTTTAAAGTTAAAATATAAAGTTGTTTGAATAAAGTGACAATTCGATACAAGTCACACACCAATATTTATGATTAATTAGAAAAATTCGATCATCTCATTATAACGTATACTATTTATAGTGGATGGTGGATGGAGTGATTTTGGAGATGTCAGGTGGTTCGGTGGATGCAGTGTAACTTGTGGAGCTGGAATGGAAAACGGGTTAAGTACAAGAAAATGCAACAATCCTACCCCACAGCATGGCGGAAAACAGTGCGTTGGGTCTTCGAACAGAACAGAAAGTAAACCATGTAGACTTAAGGAATGTCCAAGTACGATCACAGTCATTCATTTTAAGCTCACCTAGCCCGTAGGATGAGCTACTTGTATTTTCATTACTTGAGCTCCGTCGTCCGTTAAATTTGACAAAAATCTTAACAGAAACTACCGGACTAATTGGAATCAAACTTGGCATCTAAAATCATTGGTTAAGTAGATGTGTCCAAAGATCTTGCCTGCCAACCAACATGCCCGACATGTCTAAAAATAGAACATATGAATAAAATGCAAGTGTTGTCTAGTATCCTGAAAAACGTTAATGATTGAGAAAATCTGACAGGGGTAGTAATGTTCAAAATGTTGAGATCGACGTACTGTCTTTTTACACCAAATACTAGCAGACGACTTTGACAATTTTTCAAATTTTATTCGTTGTTGCCTATTATATTGAAAAATAAAAAAAATAATAATTAAAAAATAATAGGTATAGAGAAACTTTATGTACTGAATTATTAGCAAAACAAGATCTTCAAATTTGTCAAAATGACTGAAATTGTCGGTCGACTCCTTATGGGCGTCATTGCCACTAAATGACTTTAGCTTGAATAATATAATAGATATAGAGAACATTATAAGGATCAACAGGACAAGATCTACAAGTTTGTATGATTGCTAAAATCTTGGGTTGGGTCCTCTTAATGACGATTTTAACGATTTTATAAATTTTTGGCCAAACCTATAGCAGAAAAAGAAAACTGTGAACTGTAAAAATCTCCAGCGAGACAAGATCTACAAATAGGTTAGTATAGCAAAAATTTGTCAATGGACTCCTTATAGGAGTTATTGTCCTGATATAACGATTTAAACTATTTTATGTTTTTTTGCATATTTTTTGGACGAAAACTATCATAAATAAAGAAAACTTTAAACAACAATAAAGATGAGAAAGACAAGATATGCAAATAAGTCAACACTGCTGAAATTGTTAGTTGACTCCTTATAGGAGTAATTGGCCTATTTTTTTCTTTTTTAAGTATTGGACCAAAACTATAGAAGATACAGATAAACTGTAAACAGCCAAAATGATCACCAATACAAGATAAGCATTTTCTTATAGAAGATAACCTTTGAATGACAATGTTTACCAATTTCTTTTGTATTTTGAGCAGATATTATAATAGGTAGAAAGCAGAAAATATCAACAGAAAGAGATCGTTGTCATGAATTTTATTTTAGTCTTCAATGTTGAAAATTCACATATATCCGAGTGAGCAACGGAGATTCTTTAGAGCCTCAAGCTTCTTTAAGTTCTCATTACACTTGATTTTATCTAAAACATCAATGTCAGTGAACAAAAAATGCAATTTTCACGTTGAGTTACAATGTTGAGCTTTCACATAATTCAGTTAGGTGTCACCAACTGTACACCTTTGAGTTGAAAATAAATATGTCTAAAACGTGCCCTTCCCTCCAAACGTGTGCAGTTCGCTCAAACGTATCCCAAAATCACAAACCGCTCAAATAGAGAGGCGAAAGATACTAGAGGGACATTCAAACTCATAAGTTGAAAATAAACTGACAACGCCATGGCTAAAAAAGAAAAAAACCAACAGACAAACAATAGTACGCTAAACAAAACATAGAACATTAAAGACTGAGCAACACTAACCCCACCAAAAACTGGGGGTGATCTCAGGTGCTCTACAGGAGTGAGCAGGTCCTGCTCCACATGTGGCACCCGTCGTGTTCCTCATATAAGTACAAATCCGGTAATAAGTCTAATTCGGTAGGTCACATTCGGGAAAAGGGGGACGGGGTTGTAGTTACGACATAAGAAAATATCCGCTGTCATTTGTGAAACGAATTTTTTATAACGGTCAACCAACTCGCGATGGCGTCCGTAAAACTTACGAAGGGATGATTTTAACTTCACCACTTGGAAATCTTAATTTAATCAAACATATCCAATTTCAATTCCCCAAACGTATCCAATTATTTTAATGTCTCTTAAAATTGTCCAACAAAAATTTTTAACCGCCAAAATGTGTCCACTTAAGACACCAGAACGTCTCAAAACTTTATGCGCTAATATGTTCTCTATGGCTGTTACACATATCTTGTTAAGTTAAACCGAGTTAACCATTACTGCAATCTCTTTTAGTTGATGGTGAATGGTCAGAATATGGAAATTTTAATGAATGGTCAGCTTGCAGTGTTACCTGTGGGAACGGTTCAAAAACGCACGAAAGAACAAGATCCTGCACGAAGCCAGAACCCCAGTTTGGAGGGAAAGATTGCGAAGGAAGTGAAGTAGATATTCAAACGGAATCATGTGACATGTTGGACTGTCCAGGTAATTTAATTTGCGTCATTAAGCTATTATGAAAATTTGTATGATAACGGATCCAGAGAATAATAAAGGGGTGTCCGATAGTATGTTCGATTTTGTTATTTTTTTTTTAGATCACGTAAAATTACTAAAACAACTTATAAAAACAATAATTTAAAATTATTTTCCGCACAGTACACTTATGTAGTTTAGGTATCCAATACAGTGATGGAAGATCCAGTTCGTCATCTTTGGTTGAAATTCCAAAGGAACATAGAACAGACCTATGATTATCCAGGATTTCCTCTTTGGTAAGTGTCGTGAGGGTATATGTTGAGTTTCCAAATGAATTGTCAATACCTAATTCATTTATCAAGCAGTTTATGTAATGATATTTACACACAACAACGATGTTATTTGGGGCTTTATCTGCGGAGACAACAACATATTTGTCATGGCGGTAGAACAAGTGTTTTGCAATATTTGGGTCTTTAAAATTTGACGAAGCGTGGGAATTGATAGACCCATTAAGTTTCTTAATTCGGATTTGTATCAACGATCTCACAGCCTTAATCCATTCGGAAAGAGTATCTTCGTCTTCTTTCTCGCGTTTAATTTGCGTCATTAAGAAATTATGAAAATTTGTATGATAACTGATCCAAAGAATAATAAAGGGGTGTCCGGTCGTATGTTCGATTTTGTTATTTTTTTTAGATCACATAAAATTAGTAAACAACTTATAAAAACAATTTAAAATTATATTCCGCACAGTACATTTAAAATTGAATATTTTCACACAAGGTTTTGACTATAAATATAGATGCCAATATGGGTTTGAAAAAAAATACATTTACACCTTTGTTTCAAACAACGCCGGCCGCTCTGTAAATGAAATTCACTTGAACATGTTCAATGTGTCTAGTGCATTATTTTCTTAACATGTGGTAAGCGACCTACAAAACACTCAGGTGCTCCGGGAGAGTAAGCAGATCCTGCTCCACATGTGGCACCCGTCGTGTTCCTCATGTTAGTACAAACCCGGTAAAAAGTCTAATTCGGTAGGTCACATTCGGGAAAAGGGGGACGGGATTGTAGTAACGACATTAGGAAAATATCCGCTATCATTTGTGAAACGGATTTTTTATAACGGTCAACCAACTCGTAATGGCGTCCGTAAATCTTACGAAGGGATGCTTTTAACTTCACCCCTTGGAACTCTTGGTTTAATTTAACATATCCAATTTCAATTCCCCAAACGTATCCAAATATTTTAATGTCTCTTGAAAGTGTCCAACAAAAATTATTAACCGCCAAAATGTGTCCACTTAAGACACCAGAACGTCTCAAAACTTTATGCGCTGATATGTTCTCTATGGCTGTTACACATATCTTGTTAATTTAAACCGAGTTAACCATTACTGCAATCTCTTTTAGTTGATGGTGAATATTCAGAATATGGAAATTTTAATGAATGGTCAGCTTGCAGTGTTACCTGTGGGAACGGTACAAGAACGCACGAAAGAACAAGATCCTGCACGAAGCCAGAACCCCAGTTTGGAGGGAAAGATTGCGAAGGAAGTGAAGTAGATATTCAAACGGAGTCATGTGACATGGTGGACTGTCCAGGTAATTTAATTTGCGTCATTAAGCAATTATGAAAATTTGTATGATAACGGATCCAGAGAATAATAAAGGGGTGTCCGACCGTATGTTCGATTTTGTTATTTTTTTTCTTGAGCACGTAAAATTACTAAACGACTTATAAAAACAATAATTTAAAATTTTTTCCGAACAGTACACTTATGTAGTTTAGGTATCCAATACATTGATGGAAGATCCAGTTCTTCATATTGGTTGAAATTCCAAAGGAACATAGAACAGACCTATGATTATCCAGGATTTCCTCTTTGGTAAGTGTCGTGAGGGTATATATTGAGTTTCCAAATGAATTGTCAATACCTAATTCATTTATCAAGCAGTTTATGTAATGCTATTTACACACAATAACGATGTTATTTGGGGCTTTATCTGCGGAGACAACAACATATTTGTCATGGAGGTAGAACAAGTGTTTTGCAATATTTGGATCTTTAAAAATTGACGTATAGCGTGGGAATTGATAGACCCATTTAGTTTCTTAATTCGGATTTGTATCAACGACCTCACAGCCTTAATCCATTCGGAAAGAGTATCTACGCCTTCTTTCTCGCATTTAATTTGCGTCATTAAGAAATTATGAAAATTTGTATGATAACGAATCCAAAAAATAATAAAGGGGTGTCCGGTCGTATGTTCGATTTTGTTAATTTTTTTTTAGATCACGTAAAATAAGTAAACAACTTGTAAAAACAATTTAAAATTATATTCCGCACAGTACATTTAAAATTGAATATTTTCACACAAATTCTTGACTATAAATATAGATAACAATATGGGTTTGGAAAAAAATACATTTACACCTTTGTTTCAAACAACGCCGGCCTCTCTATAAATGAAATTCACTTGACCATGTTGAAAGTGTCTAGTGCATTATTTTCTTAACATGTGTTAAGCGACACCTACAATACACTTAGGTGCTCCGGGAGAGTAAGCAGATCCTGCTCTACATGTGGCACCCGTCGTGTTCCTCATGTTAGTACCTACCCGGTTATAAGTCTAATTCGGTAGGTCACATTCGGGAAAAGGGGGCGGGATTGTAGTAACGACATTAGGAAAATATCCGCTGTCATCTGTGAAACGGATATTTTATAACGGTCAACCAACTCGTGATGGCGTCCGTAAAACTTACGAAGGGATGATTTCAACTTCACCACTTGGAACTCTTGGTTTAATCAAACATACTTAGTATCCAATATTAATTCCTCAAACGTATCCAATTATTTTCTCCGCTCAAAAACGTCCGGTATTAATGTCTTCTTAAAGTGTCCAACAAAAATTGTTATCCGCCAAAACGTGACCACTTAAGACACCAGAACGTCTCAAAACTTTATGCGCTAATAGGTTCTCTATGGCTGTTACACATATCTTGTTGAGTAAAACCGAGTTAACCATTACTGCAATCTCTTTTAGTTGATGGTGAATGGTCAGAATATGGAAATTTCAATGAATGGTCAACTTGCAGTGTTACCTGTGGGAACGGTACAAAAACGCACGAAAGAACAAGATCCTGCACGAAGCCTGAACCCCAGTTTGGAGGGAAAGATTGCGAAGGAAGTGAAGTAGATATTCAAACGGAGTCATGTGACATGTTGGACTGTCCAGGTAATTTAATTTGCGTCATTAAGCAATTCTGAAAATTTGTATGATAACGGATTCAGAGAATAATAAAGGGGTGTCCGGTCGTATGTTCGATTTTGTTATTTTTTTTTAAGATCACGTAAAATTAGTAAACAACTTATAAAAACAATTTAAAATTATATTTCGCACAGTACATTTAAAATTGAATATTTTCATACAAAATTTTGAATATAAATATAGATAACAATGTGTGTCTGGAAAAAAATATATTTACACCTTTGTTTCAAACAACGCCGGCCTCTCAGTAGATGAAATTCACTTGAACATGTTGAATATGTCTAGTGCATTATGTTCTTAACATGTGTTAAGCGACACCTACAAACACTCAGGTGCTCCGGAAGAGTAAGCAGATCCTGCTCCACATGTGGCACCCGTCGTGTTCCTCATGTTAGTACAAACCCGGTAATAAGTCTAATTCGGTAGGTCACATTCGGGAAAAGGGGGGCGGGATTGTAGTTACGACATTAGAAAAATATCCGCTGTCATCTGTGAAACGGATATTTCATAACGGCCAACCAACTCGTGATCGCGTCCGTAAAACTTACGAAGAGATGATTTCAACTTCACCACTTGAAACGCTTGGTTTAATCAAACATATCCAATTTCAATTCCCCAAACGTATCCAATTATTTTCTCCGCTCAACGCCTCCGATTTTAATGTCTCCTAAAAGTGTCCAACAAAAATTTTTATCCGCCAAAACGTGTCCACTTAAGACACCAGAACGTCTCAAAACTTTATGCGCTAATATGTTCTCTATGGCTGTTACACATATCTTGTTAAGTTAAACCGAGTTAACCATTACTGCAATCTCTTTTAGTTGACGGTGAATGGTCAGAATATGGAAATTTTAATGAATGGTCAGCTTGCAGTGTTACCTGTGGGAACGGTACAAAATCGCACGAAAGAACAAGATCCTGCACGAAGCCAGAACCCCAGTTTGGAGGGAAAGATTGCGAAGGAAGTGAAGTAGATATTCAAACGGAGTCATGTGACATGTTGGACTGTCCAGGTAATTTAATTTGCGTCATTAAGCAATTATGAAAATTTGTATGATAACGGATCCAGAGAATAATAAAGGGGTGTCCGATCGTATGTTCGATTTTGTTATTTTTTTCTTTTAGATCATGTAAAATTAGTAAACAACTTATAAAAACAATTTAAAATTATATTCCGCACAGTACATTTAAAATTGTATTTTTTCATACAAATTTTTGAATATAAATATAGATAACAATATGGGTTTGGAAAAAATACATTTACACCTTTGTTTCAAACAACGCCGGCCTCTCTGTAAATGAAATTCACTTGAACATGTTGAATGTGTCTAGTGCATTATTTTCTTAACATGTGTTAAGCGACACCTACAAAACACTTAGGTGCTCCGGGAGAGTAAGCAGATCCTGCTCCACATGTGGCACCCTTCGTATGTTAGTACAAACCCGGTAATAAGTCTAATTCGGTAGGTCACATTCGGGAAAAGGGGGGCGGGATTGTAGTTACGACATTAGGGAAATATCCGTTGTCATCTGTGAAACGGATATTTCATAACGGCCAACCAACTCGTGATGGCGTCCGTAAAACTTACGAAGGGATGATTTCAACTTCACCACTTGAAACTCTTGGTTTAATCAAACATATCCAATTTCAATTCCCCAAACGTATCCAATTATTTTCTCCGCTCAACGCCTCCGATTTTAATGTCTCCTAAAAGTGACCAACAAAAATTTTTATCCGCAAAAACGTGTCCACTTAAGACACCAGAACGTCTCAAAACTTTATGCGCTAATATGATCTCTATGGCTGTTACACATATCTTGTTAAGTTAAACCGAGTTAACCATTACTGCAATCTCTTTTAGTTGATGGTGAATGGTCAGAATATGGAAATTTTAATGAATGGTCAGCTTGCAGTGTTACCTGTGGGAACGGTACAAAATCGCACGAAAGAACAAGATCCTGCACGAAGCCAGAACCCCAGTTTGGAGGGAAAGATTGCGAAGGAAGTGAAGTAGATATTCAAACGGAGTCATGCGACATGTTGGACTGTCCAGGTAATTTAATTTGCGTCATTAAGCAATTGTGAAAATTTGTATGATGACGGATCCAGAGAATAATAAAGGGTTGTCCGATCGTGTGTTCGATATTGTTATTTTTTTCTTTTAGATCATGTAAAATTAGTAAACAAATTATAAAAACAATTTAAAATAATATTCCGCACAGTACATTTAAAATTGAATATTTTCATACAAATGTTTGAATATAAATATAGATAACAATATGGGTTTGGAAAAAATACATTTACACCTTTGTTTCAAACAACGCCGGCCTCTCTGTAAATGATATTCACTTGAACATGTTGAATATGTCTAGTGCATTATTTTCTTAACATGTGTTAAGCGACACCTACAAAACACTCAGGTGCTCCGGAAGAGTAAGCAGATCCTGCTCCACATGTGGCACCCGTCGTGTTCCTCATGTTAGTACAAACCCGGTAATAAGTCTAATTCGGTAGGTCACATTCGGGAAAAGGGGGGCGGGATTGTAGTTACGACATTAGGAAAATATCCGCTGTCATCTGTGAAACGGATATTTCATAACGGCCAACCAACTCGTGATCGCGTCCGTAAAACTTACGAAGAGATGATTTCAACTTCACCACTTGAAACTCTTGGTTTAATCAAACATATCCAATTTCAATTCCCCAAACGTATCCAATTATTTTCTCCGCTCATTGTCTCCGATTTTAATGTCTCCTAAAAGTGTCCAACAAAAATTTTTATCCGCCAAAACGTGTCCACTTAAGACACCAGAACGTCTCAAAACTTTATGCGCTAATATGTTCTCTATGGCTGTTACACACATCTTGTTAAGTTAAACCGAGTTAACCATTACTGCAATCTCTTTTAGTTGACGGTGAATGGTCAGAATATGGAAATTTTAATGAATGGTCAGCTTGCAGTGTTACCTGTGGGAACGGTACAAAATCGCACGAAAGAACAAGATCCTGCACGAAGCCAGAACCCCAGTTTGGAGGGAAAGATTGCGAAGGAAGTGAAGTAGATATTCAAACGGAGTCATGTGACATGTTGGACTGTACAGGTAATTTAATTTGCGTCATTAAGCAATTATGAAAATTTGTATGATAACGGATCCAGAGAATAATAAAGGGGTGTCCGATCGTATGTTCGATTTTGTTATTTTTTTCTTTTAGATCATGTAAAATTAGTAAACAACTTATAAAAACAATTTAAAATTATATTCCGCACAGTACATTTAAAATTGTATTTTTTCATACAAATTTTTGAATATAAATATAGATAACACTATGGGTTTGGAAAAAATACATTTACACCTTTGTTTCAAACAACGCCGGCCTCTCTGTAAATGAAATTCACTTGAACATGTTGAATGTGTCTAGTGCATTATTTTCTTAACATGTGTTAAGCGACACCTACAAAACACTCAGGTTCTCCGGAAGAGTAAGCAGATCCTGCTCCACATGTGGCACCCGTCGTGTTCCTCATGTTAGTACAAACCCGGTAATAAGTCTAATTCGGTAGGTCACATTCGGGAAAAGGGGGGCGGGATTGTAGTTACGACATTAGGAAAATATCCGCTGTCATCTGTCATAACGGGCAACCAAGTCGTGATGGCGTCCGTAAAACTTACGAAGGGATGATTTCAACTTCACCACTTGAAACTCTTGGTTTAATCAAACATATCCAATTTCAATTCCCCAAACGTATCCAATTATTTTTTCCGCTCAACGCCTCCGATTTTAATGTCTCCTAAAAGTGTCCAACAAAAATTTTTATCCGCCAAAACGTGTCCAATTAAGACACCAGAACGTCTCAAAACTTTATGCGCTAATATGTTCTCTATGGCTGTTACACATATCTTGTTAAGTTAAACCGAGTTAACCATTACTGCAATCTCTTTTAGTTGACGGTGAATGGTCAGAATATGGAAATTTTAATGAATGGTCAGCTTGCAGTGTTACCTGTGGGAACGGTACAAAATCGCACGAGAGAACAAGATCCTGCACGAAGCCAGAACCCCAGTTTGGAGGGAAAGATTGCGAAGGAAGTGAAGTAGATATTCAAACGGAGTCATGTGACATGTTGGACTGTCCAGGTAATTTAATTTGCGTCATTAAGCAATTATGAAAATTTGTATGATAACGGATCCAGAGAATAATAAAGGGGTGTCCGATCGTATGTTCGATTTTGTTATTTTTTTCCTTTAGATAACGTAAAATTAGTAAAAAACTTATAAAAACAATTTAAAATTAAATTCAGCACAGAACACTTAAAGTTGAATATTTTCATACAAATTTTTTAATATAAATATAGATAACAATATGGGTTTGGAAAAAATACATTTACACCTTTGTTTCAAACAACGCCGGCCTCTCTGTAAATGAAATTCACTTGAACATGTTGAATATGTCTAGTGCATTATTTTCTTAACATGTGTTAAGCGACACCTACAAAACACTCAGATGCTCCGGAAGAGTAAGCAGATCCTGCTCAACATGTGGCACCCGTCGTGTTCCTCATGTTAGTACAAACCCGGTAATAAGTCTAATTCGGTAGGTCACATTCGGGAAAAGGGGGGCGGGATTGTAATTACAACATTAGGAAAATATCCGCTGTCATCTGTGAAAGGGATATTTCATAAAGGCCAACCAACTCGTGAGGGCGTCCGTAAAACTTACGAAGGGATGATTTCAACTTCACCACTTGAAAGTCTTGGTTTAATCAAACATATCCAATTTCAATTCCCCAAACGTATCCAGTTATTTTTCTCCGCTCAAGGCTTCCGATTTTAATGTCTCCTAAAAGTGTCTAACAAAAGTTTTTATCCGCCAAAACGTGTCCACTGAAGACAACAGAACGTCTCAAAACTTTATGCGCTAATAAATTATGTTCTCTATGGCTGTTACACATATCTTGTTAAGTTAAACCGAGTTAACCATTACTGCAATCTCTTTTAGTTGATGGCGAATGGTCAGAATATGGAAATTTTGATGAATGGTCAGCTTGCAGTGTTACCTGTGGGAACGGTACAAAATCGCACGAAAGAACAAGATCCTGCACGAAGCCAGAACCCCAGTTTGGAGGGAAAGATTGCGAAGGAAGTGAAGTAGATATTCAAACGGAGTCATGTGACATGTTAGACTGTCCAGGTAATTTAATTTGCGTCATTAAGCAATTATGAAAATTTGTATGATAACGGATCCAGAGAATAATAAAGGGGTGTCCGATCGTATGTTCGATTTTGTTATTTTTTTCTTTTAGATCATGTAAAATTAGTAAACAACTTATAAAAACGATTTAAAATTATATTCCACAGAGTACATTTAAAAATTGAATATTCTCATACAAATGTTTGAATATAAATATAGATAACAATATGGGTTTGGAAAAACACATTTACACCTTTGTTTCAAACAACGCCGGCCTCTCTGTAAATGAAATTCGCTTGAACATGTTGAATGTGTCTAGTGCATTATTTTCTTAACAGGTGTTAAGCGACACCTACAAAACACTCATGTGCTCCGGAAGAGTAAGCAGATCCTGCTCCATATGTGACACCCGTCGTGTTCCTCATAAAAGTAAAAACCAGGTAATAAGTCTTATTCGGTAGGTCACATTCGGGAAAAGGGGGGCGGGATTGTAGTTACGACATTAGGAAAATATCCGCTGTCATCTGTCATAACGGCAAACCAACTCGTGATGGCGTCCGTAAAACTTACGAAGGGATGATTTCAACTTCACCACTTGAAACTCTAGGTTTAATCAAACATATCCAATTTCAATTCCCCAAACTTATCCAATTATTTTCTCCGCTCAACGCCTCCAATTTTAATGTCTCCTGAAAGTGTCCAACAAAAATTTTTATCCGCCAAAACGTGTCCACTTAAGACACCAGAACGTCTCAAAACTTTATGCGCTAATATGTTCTCTATGGCTGTTACACATATCCTGTTAAGTTAAACCGAGTTAACCATTACTACAATCTCTTTCAGTTGATGGTGAATGGTCAGAATATGGAAATTTTAATGAATGGTCAGCTTGCAGTGTTACCTGTGGGAACGGTACAAAATCGCACGAAAGAACAAGATCCTGCACGAAGCCAGAACCCCAGTTTGGAGGGAAAGATTGCGAAGGAAGTGAAGTAGATATTCAAACGGAGTCATGTGACATGTTGGACTGTCCAGGTAATTTAATTTGCGTCATTAAGCAATTATGAAAATTTGTATGATAACAGATCCAGAGAATAATAAAGGGGTGTCCGATCGTATGTTCGATTTTGTTATTTTTTTCCTTTAGATAACGTAAAATTAGTAAACAACTTATAAAACCAATTTAAAATTATATTCCGCACAGTACACTTAAAAATGAATATTTTCATACAAATTTTTTAATATAAATATAGATAACAATATGGGTTTGGAAAAAATACATTTACACCTTTGTTTCAAACAACGCCGGCCTCTCTGTAAATGAAATTCACTTGAACATGTTGAATATGTCTAGTGCATTATTTTCTTAACATGTGTTAAGAGACACCTACAAAACACTCAGGTGCTCCGGAAGAGTAAGCAGATCCTGCTCAACATGTGGCACCCGTCGTGTTCCTCATGTTAGTACAAACCCGGTAATAAGTCTAATTCGGTAGGTCACATTCGGGAAAAGGGGGGCGGGATTGTAGTTACGACATTAGGAAAATATCCGCTGTCATCTGTGAAACGGATATTTCATAAAGGCCAACCAACTCGTGAGGGCGTCTGTAAAACTTACGAAGGGATGATTTCAACTTCACCACTTGAAAGTCTTGGTTTAATCAAACATATCCAATTTCAATTCCCCAAACGTATCCAATTATTTTCTCCGCTCAACGCCTTCGATTTTAATGTCTCCTAAAAGTGTCCAACAAAAATTTTCATCCGCCAAAACGTGTCCACTTAAGACACCAGAACGTCTCAAAACTTTATGCGCTAATATGTTCTCTATGGCTGTTACACATATCTTGTTAAGTTAAACCGAGTTAACCATTACTGAAATCTCTTTTAGTTGATGGTGAATGGTCAGAATATGGAAATTTTAATGAATGGTCAGCTTGCAGTGTTACCTGTGGGAACGGTACAAAATCGCACGAAAGAACAAGATCCTGCACGAAGCCAGAACCCCAGTTTGGAGGGAAAGATTGCGAAGGAAGTGAAGTAGATATTCAAACGGAGTCATGTGACATGTTGGACTGTCCAGGTTATTTAATTTGCGTCATTAAACAATTATGAAAATTTGTATGATAACGGATCCAGAGAATAATAAAGGGGTGTCCGGTCGTATGTTCGATTTTGTTCATTTTTTTTTTATCACGTAAAAATAGTAAACAATTTATAAAAACAATTTAAATTTATATTCCGCACAGTACATTTAAAATTGAATATTTTGACACAAATTTTGAATATAAATATAGATAACAACATGGGTTTGGAAAAAAATACATATGCACCTTTGTTTCAAACAACGCCGGCCTCTCTGTTAATTGAAATTCACTTGAATGTGTCTAGTGCATTATTTTCTTAACATGTGTTAAGCGACACCTACAAATCACTCAGGTGCTCCGGAAGGGTATGCAGATCCTGCTCCACATTTGGAACCCGTCGTGTTGCTCATGTAAGTACAAAACCGGTGATATGTCTAATCGGTAAGTCACGTTCGGGGAAGGGGACGATATTGTAGTTACGACTTTTGGAAAAAAATGAAAACAAGACGTAATAAATTTATGCATCCGAACATATACGTCGTCATCTGTGAAACAGATATTAAATAACGGTCAACCAACTTGTGATGGCGTCCATCAAATTTACCCAGGAATGATTTCAACATCACCACTTAGAACTCTTGAATTAAAAAAAAATCTGGATGGAAGGGACAAAAATGGTTAGTTTGCATTGACAATTAGGTAAAAAAAATAACCATTGAGCTTCAAAATTAAATAATTTTTTCCTGTATGTTATTGAAAAAAAAAATCATTTCTATTAAATTAAAAAAATGTTAGGGCTTAAAAAAGCCCAAGCCTCCCCACAAAATTTAAATGTCCGGTGCTTAACATCGCTTATTAGATATACACTGATCATTGATTTTTATCTAGAATTTGAGTGTACAAGTGATGGTCTTTTTGCCGACCCAAAAGACTGTACCAAATTTATTCAGTGTGCTAACAATATCAAGTATGAAATGTCATGTCCACTAACAACTCATTGGGAACAAACAAAAGGCTACTGTGTCCATGGTGACGACTGTAATTAGTGGTATGGTATTATTAATTTTGTCAATACAAAGATTTATTTTAAAATAAGTGTAACCATCTTTTGTAAGTTCATTTAGTAAATTTTCATATGTTACTATGACAGTCCGTTTGAAGCTGAGACATTTATACACGTGTTTTGATTTCAGAGAATCATGTGAAGTTTAATCTGCCGCAATTCATAAGGAAATATATGACATATAGCACCCTAAGTGATAAAGATCCATTTAACAGCATGAATTTAAATGGAATTTCAGTTTTTTGCAAGCACATGATAAATACAAACTTTTTGGAAGTTAATTTTCATGATCCTCTGAATTTTAAAACATCAAAAATGGCTAAGTTTTGTGAATTCTTTAATATAACAACATGCCAAAATTCAAGCTAGAGTGATATGCAATTTATTACTTGTGAATATATTTGGTTATATGTGTCGTTCAATTGCTGTCTTATTGACGTATATTCTACATCTCTTTTTATTTATCATTGCGTTCCTCACATATACGTCCGTTAGGAGTGTTAACCAAAGTTTTATTGAAATGTTGAGCGATCACTAGTTGTTTATAAAGATACTCCAGTATATATAAGGATTGCATATTTTCTCTGATGGGCATAAACATTTTGTCTTTTATATATATATATATATATATATATGCTTTATAAAAATATAATTCAAAACTTACTTTTTCAGAGAATTGAACTGACGGAGGACTTTGAAAAAAGCTTTCATGGAAGATTTTTCCTCTTACACTGTTATAATCAGAACATTTCAGTGACATCATTGTCACACAATCGTCAATGTGTATCAGAGAAATTTGGAGATTCTCATAGCATAATTCATGTTCAAAAATCTTACTTTATTATTATTAGATATATTCTACATCATTCACATATTGTCATCTGTTTACTTTTTAATAAACAGTCTAGCAGTGGAACACTCTCAATTCCCTTCTTCTGTTATATTGTATAGTCCTCATTTCTTGGAGGACTTCGTAAATTTCACTTTAAAACACCATCAAATAATACTTTGCCTTACACTGTTTAACATCATAGTAATAGCCCTAAAGGATTGTGTTAGTTATTGAAGGTTAATAACCTCTTCTTAAATAAATAAAAGGTAAATCAATATAAGAAGTCACTACTGAAGAAACTCTAGTTGAGTAGAAACAGCTTTTTTTTTTAGATCAGATGAGTTTAACCCCAATTTTTGGTGGGGTTCGTGTTCCTTATTCTTTAGTTTTCTGATTAGTCTAAAAATAAGGAGAGGAAGATGTGGTATGTTTGCCATTGAGACAATTATCCATTATAGTCCAAATGACGTGGATGTAAGCAACAATTGGTCACTTTGTAGTGATTTGTGATCTGTTTATTTGTCTTTCATTTTCTCTTGATCATGCTGTTGTCTGTCTTTCTTTGACCAATGTCTTTGTTTGATTGCCACTTAGGATCTTTTCTTCTTCTGCATATTACAGCCCACTGACTATTTTAAAGACCTCATATAATAATTCTTTGACCAATGTTTTTTGTTTGATTGCCACTTAGGATCTTTTCCTCTTCGGCATATTACAGCCCACTGACTATTTTAAAGACCTCATATAATAAGTCTTTAATAAAATAAGAAAACAAATCAAAAACAAAAACAAATCAGGCTGTTGGTTTTTTCGTTTGAATTGTTGCACATTTTGGCATGTCGGGGCCTTTTACAGCTGACTATAAGGCATGAATTTTTCGTTGTTGAATTGCTGTACGTTGACCTATATATGACTACGATCACGTCATTTGGATAGTTGTCTCTTTTGCATTCGGACAACATCTTGTTATTTTATTTTGTAAATGTGTATATGCCATTAAAGTGTGCTCTTATTTATTGGTTATCCGATGGAGAAAGCCAACTTTAGGGTTGTCACATATTAGACGTATATAATAAAAGACATCTTGAAGTGACTGCATGATAAATATCTAGCATCCTTTACGACTGACAAAATACATCTACATGCCGACGAGGAAAGACACCAGCCTACCCGATTGTTGATTAAAGCGTACAATTAAAAGTTATTAGTAGAATATCAATAATACTATTGATAGTTCTAAAATATAATAAAGAATAAAGTTGATGCCAAAGATTTATTGCAAAATTGATTCACGAACTCTAAAAGCCCAGTTAAAAGCAGTTATCAAAACCATTACTTTCTAACATCCTCCTGTTGCAATTCCGTATTATTAATGTTTCAATGATTAATATTCTGTTATCATCTTAAATATCTAAAATTACCTTTCATATCTTATATATAAATTCTTATCATATCTTAAAGTTGAATATATTTAGATTCGTCCAATTCATGGGAATTAGCCTTCTGCAAGTGTTTTTTTGCGTACTTTTCTTATGTTTTTGACGGTTTGTAAGTCAGTAAAAGTTCAATGATTAAGTTAATATTGACATTAAAAGACCTCCTCACAAAAAGGGCTGTTCAAATCCCCTCGCCCTTCGGGCTCGGGGATCCCAGCATCCCTTTTTGTTCGGAGTTCTTTTAATATCAATATTAACTTATCATTTAACTTTTACTATTACTTAAATACACTAAAGTTTAATATTTACATGATAAATTGCACAATGTCATATTTCGTGTATCTGATATTTATTCAACGACTTAAATTGTCATTTCCTTGATAATAGTGCGATGACGGAATAGGAGAAAAACATTATTAAAAGAGTTTAATTTCACTTCATATTACTCGGCTAAAAATTTGCATAGTCCTAGAATCATTTTTTTACTTGAATTTAAGATTGGTCGTAAAAAAGTCGCATATGGTGCAGTTTTTTTTAATTTTATCGTTAAGCTTAGCAAAGGACAAGGTATGATAAGGGCCATTTTTGGCCCCCCTTTTCCCGATTTTTGAATCCTTGAAGTTGAAACCCATCTCGCCTGTAAAATGATCTGTAGTATCTGCTCGTCCACAAGGCACCTTATTTTGTTGTATTATGTGCTCATATCTGCGCAAACCAAGACCTTGAAAAGGCTAGGAACGACGAAAAGTTTCAAAAATCTACAATTCCATAATGTTTAGAGACGAAATTAAACACCAGCGCCAACGTAGACCATCCTGAATTTTTCAACCATTAACTCTACTCTTATGTATCTTTCATTTTACAAAACATCATGATGGTCTACGTTGGCGCTCATATCTTAAATTTAAACAAAAATCCGATTGTTTACAATTTTGACAAGTCCATATAATACGTCAAACAAAACGTGGATTAATTTCCATTCAATAAGATTTTTCAAATAATTTGGAGGTAAATTGTACATTTCCTCTAATATATGTTGAACTTGAAAATATTTTATTATACCATCTACAGAAAACCGTATTAGAATTATTATTATCGTCTACAACTTGCTGCAATTGTGATTGGTGTCCGACCTTGCAAGACCCTCATGGGTAGTCAAGGTTGTTAAAAAAAAACCCTCGTCGCAACCCTCATGGGTAGTCAAGGTCGTTAAAAACCAACCTCGTCGTGGCAATTGTGATAACCGTCATAAACCCGCATTGGGCAGTGAAGTCAGTTAAGGAAGTTTAAAAATATCCCCGTTTGGATGATAAATTAAAATATGAAATTTCATATAAAGATTTATTTAACACCCCCGTAGTAATACAATGGGAAATGTTACCGTTAGAAAACCAAAAGACATGAACAAAATATAGGTCGATAAATACTCCCATAGCAGTGCTCTGAAACTTTTCTGATGAATTATCTAATGCCTTTCTTGAAGAGAAATACATAGGGCAAATAATATCAAAAGTAGACCGGTGTCTTTCGTGGAAAAATGTCGAACTCCTAACTCATTTGGAGAAGACAAAAAATTAGAATAATACCAAAAGTAGACATTTGTCCTTGTTCTTCGTGTCAAAATGTCAAAATCTTAACTCATCTGAAGAGTATAAAAATTGTAGAAAATTCAACTAAAACACTCACAGATGCGCAATCAAGACAAAATTCCCCAAAGCAAAGAAAAAAGACCACAATGAAAAAAATGATACTACTATGACAAGTAAATTACCAACCACATGAATGAAAAGATGCCTGAATTGGGACCGGCATATGCACTAGTGGAGTGATGACACTATTTAGATCCCCCTTCTAATATTCATTGAATTACCTACAAAACGTACATAAAAAAACATGCAATATCATGAATATGAAAAAGTATTTTATTTAAAAAAAATAGTATAATAGATATCAAGACGCAGTTTAAAAAGAAAAAAATATAATTCCGTGCAAAGTTCAGTTTATACTGAAAGGAACTATGATACTTAACCTTTAATGTAATTTACATATGGACACCTTATTTATATTTGATACATCCCTTTAAGATATTTAATAGAAAAGGCAGGATAAGGGGTATCCATCCATGACAGAAAATCAGTACGTGCTCAGCAAAAAACACAAAACGCAAAGGAACAGCGCTTTTATGGCTCTTCTTCATCTCAAAGTGAAAATGAGGCATCAACAAGCACTCTTTGCACTTGCTGCATTTGATAAGCCGTATTCATAAAATAAAAGTTTGTTGTTGAGTTAACGTTTCTTTTCTCTTAGCTCCTGTTTGTATTTGCCAATAAAACACACTACAAAAAATGGCTTAGTTTCAACCTCTTTTACTTACATAAATAAAAATTGGATAAGACCCATAGCAGACAGACTTATGACGTCTAAGTATGCATGTAGAAGTATGTGTTTATTTCTGCTATTTCAAGCATTTATTGCTATTTTGTCTTCAGTTTAAATTAATTGACAATCATTTCATGTCAAACCTATACCTTATCCCGGGGTGCGCTGGTTCCATGAAGTATGTTGTTACAAAACAGCAGTGTCATATTATGGATAAATTAAAGAGATGTGGTATGATTGCAAAAAGCTATTTACCAGAGATCAAATGTGTTAATTTCAGGAAATCTATCGTAGAAATAAAGACTTTTCAGAAAAAGATGAAAATTGTCCTTCATGAGTGTTTTTTATGTCTTGGACCCTGACCTGACGAGAACTCTGAACTTTAAGTTCGGTATTTTTTTTTTAAATGTTGTTTTAATTGTTAAACAGTTTGCAGTGTAGGATACTTAAACTGACAAACAATTGAATTGCACAAGCCACACGTATTTGTTTTTAATACTTAAACCGTATTCATCAGAAACTGAATTTTCAATTGGATTTTTAACTGCTTTGTTTTTTTTTTTAATGTTATCATTATGTACATGGTACTGTCAATGCTATATTCATAATTCAGACTTTTATTCGTGATTATAAGTATCACTATAACGCTTTTTATGTAACTTAATTTCTTAATGTAAAGAACCACCACAAAATCCTGTGGATGGAATTATATAAGTTCATATCATATATGGGGTATCCATCCATGACCAAAATTTGTACATCTCAGAAAAAAACACAAAAAAAATAGCAAAGGAACAGCGCATTTATTGCTGTTCTTCTTCTCAAAGTCACAGTGAGGTCTTCAACACAGAGCAAAAAACGATCACCTCACTGCAAGTTTAAGACGAGCCCAAGCAACGGCTTAAGCGGAATTCTTGAAAAAAAAAAACATGATACAATTGAAATTACTTTCATTTCTTACTGGTAGTTATTCTTAAACGCCAATCTGATCTGCTTTTATTCTAACATGTATAAACAAATAACAAATTCATTTTTTTAGTTAAAGTTAATTAAATCAATTTTGGCTGTTGCTAAGCAACTTTTGGGTTGCTATGCTCAGTACAAACTTCATAAAAAAGAATAATGATGACTCAGACAATATATAAGAACAAAAAAAAAACATTCATGGCAGCTAAATCTTAAAAAAGTGTTATATTTAAATTTCAAAGGTACAAAGTAA